AGGTCGGCGCCGGGGGCCGGCGGGGGAGGGAGCGCCGCCGCCGGAGGCTCCGCGGCCGGGCCGCGCTGCTCTCCATGCCGCGCACGTCGGACCCATTTCCCACGCTGGCTTGGCTCCGCGCGGAGTTGGTAGGGATGGGAGGTGGGGAGGGCGAGCCGGAGACTACCTCGGCTGGCATAGGAAACCACTCCACTGTGAAGGACGCGCTGTCTCCCCCCCCCCTCAAATCTCCGAGAGGTGCCACATGTGTGTGTGGGGGGGGAGCTACTCAATCCCTCACTCCTCGTATAGTGCGCGTCCGGATCCGTGCGCGCCGGAGTGGCGGGCGCAGGTTTTTAATGGCAGGGGGGATTTATTGAAGTTTCTGGGCTGGAGAGGGGGGAGGGGGAGGGGTTCCCCGAGTCCCGCTGCCCACACCGCGGGCCTGAAGTTTGCAAAATGAGAGCGCGCACTGCACCACATGGCCGCGTATCGGAATGCAACCCTCGACTCCAGGCCTCCGAGTGGAAGACGGCGGCCTCTCTTTGGCCACGGGACCGGGGGTCAGCCGAAACCGGGCACTCCGACAAACCAGGGTCCTGGCCAAATCTAAAGGGGGTGGGGGGGGGGCTCGGCGTCGCTGTCACTCAGCCGGCGGTGAAGCCGCTGCGGCGCCCGCCCCCGCCCCCGGCTCCAGACTGCGGCGGTGCGCACTGAGCCTGCGCACCGGGCTTTTCTCGCTGATGCTGCAGATACACAACTGAGAGTAGCTCGGGTGGCGGCGGCCACGGGAGGCTTCACGGGGGAAGGCCGGATTCCCGGTTTTATCCTCGGAGGAGGAGCCACCACCACTCCCGGAAAGACGACACTTTCACAGACTGGAAAATACGCGTCCGCTCCCCGGCGCCCGCGGCGCGCCCTCGCCTGCACCACCAGGCTTCTCCGATCTCGGGTAGAGCGAGAGCCTAGAAATCTCTGCGGGTCTTTCCCCGCCAAGCCTCGGTCAGTGGATCGAGCCCGCCCAAACCCACGGAGCGCCACGGCCGCCGGTAGACGTTAGTGCTATTTGCCTTGTGTAAGTCCTTCTGGCTTCTCACCTTAGGTCTAGTCCAGGCAAGACTGATTACAGACACTGGAAGCATTTCCTGTTTGATTTTTTTTCTTTTTCTTCCCCCCTCTTTCTCTATGGGGGGGGCGTCTTACAAATGTGAAGACTGTGCAGAAGAGCTAACCAAATCCCTGGAACACTCGTTTCTATCCTTTGAGAGCCTAAGATTACTCTCGCCGTTTTCATCGTGGCGGGGGCTTTAGCAGCTGTCGTGATCTAACTAGATTGACTGCGACAGTCCTGGCTGAAATCGGAGGAAAGCCTCGCTAAAGGGAGTAAATAGCAGAGAAGACCAAATGACACAAAAGTCAAAAGCAAAGAGAGGGGAGCGGAACAGAAGCGAGGCACGCTCAGTACACACACAAAGTTGCCATTAAAGTTTATTTCCCTTTACATCCAGATAGGTGACGCTACACTTTGCCACACACTACAGACTGCAGGTTTCTGCTGAAGGGGAAAAAAACAATATCGAGGCTTCCAGCGTGTGTTTTATAACCTCCCCTTCCCCAAAATGCACTCAGGACAAGAATGCCAAGCATCTCAAGGAAGACGGACGCCCTCCCCACCCCCACCCCAAAGTCTGTGCTTCCCTTCACCCCCCCCCAAAAAAAAGATCCCTCTCCAGTTCTCTCTGGACTTTGATGTTCTCTTTGCCACTACTGCAGCCCTTCATAAGATTTTCAGAACACAAGTCTGGCTTCCTCGATCCAACACAGCATAGTAACCATACCAGATGTTAAATTGCGAGCTGAGACTCTTTGGTGGGAAGATGGGAGGGAGGGAGGGAAGGAGGGGAGGGGACAAAGGAGAAATCTATCCCACCACTCACTCAGTTCAAACATGCTGGAGACAGGGAAGGAAATTTACCAAGGAACAAAAAAGCAGCAACTCCCCCCCCCTTCCCACGCCAGGACACGGCCACTGCACTCGCCAGCGCCCTCCCCCCGCCCCTCCCCAAAGCCAAGCCGGGCTTCTCCAAGGGCAGTGGCAGCCGGCTGCCCCCGCCCCCCCCAGCCCCATTTCCCAGGCCCTCCTCTCTGGGGATGGACGAGTGTGTGCAGAGTTTCGGCGCTGGGTCTCGGCTCTGCGCCGCCGCCGCCGCAGTGGCGGGGCCAAGTCTGGGGAGTCGGGAGCCCGCGAGCCCCCTTCCAGCAGCCACCCCCGGCACTTTCCGCAAACTTGCGGCTTCTCCGGGGTCTCCCGGGGGCGCGCGAGCCAGCGCTTCCCTCCCCAGCCCCCCGATCGCCCGTGGGCCGCGTCTCTCCCCCGCCGCGACCGCAGCCCGGGGAGTCGGCGGGAGCCGGGAGCGAGCGCCCGCACCCGACGCGAGCGGGGCGACGCAACTGCGGAATTCACGCGCCGAGCCCGGGCCCTTCCCGCCCCGCCGCCGCCGCCGACTGGCACTTTTTTTCCTCCCCTTTGGCAAACTGGATTTTTTTTTCTGAAAGCTACTTGGCACACACACACACACTCACTCACACACACTCACACTCCGTGCCTTTGGCTTTTTCTTGGGAAATCAGGACGCAAATTGAGCATCTTGGTGGATTGCGGTGGGGAGAGCCCGGGGCCGTGCGTGTTGCACCCGGACTCACGCCGCCGGGGCGCCGAGCCCGGCTCGCTCACCTTTGAACTGCAAAAGGGATCAAGTTCAGCTCGAGTTCCCTGCCTGGGGACTACGAGGAAGGAAAGGGGGTGGGGGGAGAGAGGGAGGGCGGGAGAGGCAGCCCAGTGCGGGAGAGGCGAGCGAGCACGCGAGGGAGGGGGAAAGGGGAAAAGAAGAGGAGGGAGGAGAGAAGGGGAGGGAGGAGAGTTCGGGGGGGAGGAGGCAGGGGAGGGATCGAGAGAGAGAGGGAGAGAGTGGGGAGCGAGCGAGGCTGTAATCTCCTCCCCGAATCGCGCTCGGCGCTGCAGATCCCGGTGCTCCGCCGCGCGGGCCGCATGCAGGTGAGGGGAGGCCCGGACTCTGCGGCTGCCAATCCAAACTTGGGCCACCGCGCGGGGCGCACGGCTCGGCCTCGCCCCCCCCCTCCGGCCCCCGCGGGCGAATGGTTGTGCTGCGGGTTTCAGGCGGCGGCTTCGTGACTAATGACCTTGCGCAGAGTTAAGAAAAAAGAGCGAGAGCGCGAGCGAGCGAGCGAGCGCTCGAGTGAGCCCGCAGAGCTCTCAGGGGGTTGTGAGAAGCGACCGAGTCTCCGGGCAGCGGTGGAGATGGCTCGGGCTGCCGGCTGGCGCGCCGGGGACGGCGGGACGCGGACCTCGCCGTGACGCGATCGTGCCAGCAGCCGCGGACCTGCCAGGGATTTTTTTTTCCCTTCTCTCTTCTTGTTTTTTTTCCCCCCCTCTCCATTCCGGGGCTGGTGACTGTCTACCCCGCTGCGGGAGAGAAGGAAGTCCGAGTTGCACACCGGCTCGCGGCTGGCCCCGGGAGTCTCCTGCGGGGACGGGGAGGAGAGAGGAGGGGGGCGGGCGAGGAAGCAACTCACGTTTGGCGGAGCGGCGGCGGCCGGGGCTGGAGTGAGCGGCTGGAACGGGGATTGGACTCAACTCGAGTGGCAGCACTCGCGGACTGGCGGGGTGGGGAGGCGCTGGGGCGGGGAGAAGAGAAGGGAGGGGAGGCTGGCAGGTTCGCTTCCCCTTTCCCACTGCCCGGCTCCTCCACCACCCGCCCGCCTTTTGATTTGCCCGGGCGAGCGGACAGCGAGGCTCCGGACGAGGCTCTCCCGCGGCGGGGGATGGCGGAGAGCTCCCATCCCGCGGCGCGCAGTGTCCCGTGAACTGTGAGTACCGCGCGGCGGCCGGCGAGCGGACGATTAGCACCCAGTGCATGAATTATGAAACAATAACTTTCGGAAGAAGCAAGAGGAAAAGAAAGAAGAAGAAGAAGAAGAAATACAAGCAAGCAGCAGCATCTTCTCTCCGCCTCTCTCCACCCCCCACCCCCTCCTCACCACCACCACCACCACCACCTCCCACCCTGCGCCCCATCCCTGGACTCCCGACGCTCGGCTCCAGCCTCCGATCCCTCCCCTTCCTTTCCCGGAGAGAGGACTGAGAGAGAGGGGAGGGCAGGCGGCCAGCCGCCCTCCTTCCCCCCCTCCCTCCCTCCCACTCCCCGAGGAGAGGGGGGGCGCGGAGCCGGGGCGGGGGGCTGTGGTTAGAAGGAGCAGTAGCAGCAGCAGCAGGAGAAGATGCTGAGGATGCGGACGGCGGGGTGGGCGCGCGGCGGGTGCTGGGGCTGCTGCCTCCTCCTGCCGCTCTGGTTCAGCCTGGCCGCCGCCAAGCAGCTCCTCCGGTACCGGTTGGCCGAAGAGGGCCCCGCCGACGTCCGGATCGGGAACGTGGCTTCGGACTTGGGCATCGTGACCGGCTCGGGCGAGGTGACTTTCAGCCTGGAGTCGGGCTCGGAATACCTGAAGATCGACAACCTCACCGGGGAGCTGAGCACCAGCGAGCGGCGCATCGACCGCGAGAAGCTGCCCCAGTGTCAGATGATCTTCGACGAGAACGAGTGCTTCTTGGACTTCGAGGTGTCGGTGATCGGACCCTCGCAGAGCTGGGTGGACTTGTTCGAGGGTCGGGTCATCGTGCTGGACATCAACGATAACACGCCCACCTTCCCGTCTCCGGTGCTCACGCTCACGGTGGAGGAGAACCGGGCTGTCGGGACGCTCTACCTGCTGCCCACCGCCACCGATAGGGACTTTGGGCGCAACGGCATCGAGCGCTACGAGCTGCTCCAGGAGCCCGGGGGCGGCGGCGGCGGCGAGGGCCGGCGCGCG